GTTATGTTAAAGTAAACAAAACTTTAAAAAATAGTGATCCCTTCCTGTTTAAATCTTTAAAGGTTACAAAAATTTAAATCTATTTATGAAGCTACGATAATGGGGAAAAAAGTGAATGTTAAGGTATTTTTAGTTTAATTAATTTGTTGATCTTTTTTAGGTGCATTGAATTAGGTACAAATTAGGTACATATATAGGCACATATACATATATTTGTGGTTAAGGGAAATCCTCATTTAAGTGTAAAATCAATAATAGAAAAATATGAAAGAATTTTTTCATAAAATTTCTAAATAAATATTATATACAATTTGTAACTATGCGGCTTTACTAATTTTTAAACGTTAAGAATGGATAATAAGAATAATAAATTATAAAAATTCTATTTCAATTGCGTATCTCTGATTTTGTAATATTAGTTCGAAAAAACTAAATTAAAAAAAAAATTGACAAAAAACTATTAACTTTGAAAACTTAAAATTGCTTACCATGCTCAGCTTATGCAAGTATTTTGATTAATGTAAGTTAGGTTAAGTTGACGTAGCTTTTGTAAGGTATAGAAAATTGGCCCGTTAGTATACCGCTAGATGAACGTATCTCCATCTACATACAAAGTAACACAAACTTTTCATAAACCTTTTCATTCGCTATAGGGCCGCAACTCGGAGAAAGAAATAAAGATCCAAGAATAATTCATCTCGACTGTGCCAAATTGAATGTGAACAAAATAGATGAGCTACTGTCTCTCTCTTCTTCCCGTAACCGCAGTTATTGTAGCAGAGAACGTTCGTCGCACTCCCCATTTTTTTGGCATGATCGCTAATCTAACAATGTCGCTTATAAACCCTATCACTGCTACAATATCTCCCCGGCGGAGAGATATTAGATAACCGTCGATGTCGATGTAGCTTAGGTCACAATTGTCTAGTTATACATTTCCCTACATTGCTATTTATTTGATCTATTGTCGCATTGCGTACGAATATCTTGTAAATATTAAGAGTCATCTTCAACTCCTCCTTCTCAGATAATTTAAGAGCGAGGAACTAAATTCATTTAATTTTTAACCGCATATTTAAAATATCTGGATTAGCGATTGTATATTGTCATTTCTACATTCTACCTTAATTAGTCATTATACAATTGTAAGGAAAGAATTTGTGAAATAGTGCCTCTTGTTTTTCAAATTTAAAAAAAAGAAAAATCAAATTGGTTCCTTTATTATACATGATGAATTATGACATTTCTATATAGTCTAGACATTTAAGAATAATATTTTGGTGTAAAATAGACCATAAAACCAAATATACTTATAAGTATATCGAAGTGCTTGTACATTTATGAAAAAAAAATTTTTATTCTATTTTAAACCTTTCAAATATTTAGCGCAGGTCATTTTATTGAAAATTTTGGAAATGCCCTTAAAAAAAAATTGTTTAAAAATCAAGTGACATACGAAATTTAAAATATTTGATCCTTTTTGTTGGTGCTAAAATTTTAAAACATGAATTTTCAAAAGGACATTAAAAATGATCTTACTTTTATACATGAATAGAAAACACAAAAACCAGAAAAAAAAACAATCCAAATAAATTATTACAATTTTAAAGCGCCTTGTCAAAAGTAACTTGAGATATTTGAGACTTTAATAACGTATGTGCTTAATATTGTGTGTGTATGTACATCAGAATATTTATTAAAAATACAAGAGGTATAGGATAGCATATCGTAAACAAATTATATTAATAATTTTAAAAACATTATTTAATAAGTGGGTGGTATGTTTTGAATGTTCTCAAATAATTGATTTACAATTTGTATACATTATCTAATATAAGACATTAAAATTATTATACAGGATTCACACATTTTTTAAGTGTTTTGTTACAGTTTAAATATCAAAAAAGAGACCAAAAGTATGTACGTCCAGGCTAGTCTTTCTTGTTTAACAGTTTTAATAGCATTTTCAAATTGATAGTAGATTATGTGAAGATGCACTAAGGTTCATTTATTGTTATACAAACCTCTTCCTATGTAAAAATAAAACAGCAATTGATATTCGGTATTTTTTAATTCCAAAACAGAAGATTTTTTCGTCCTTTCAGCTCAGCAGAAAAACCACTTAAACACACCTAAACAATGGGAACAAATTGCATCAATTTACAAAATTTGAATGTTTTTTAAGTTGTGTATATATACATATGTAGATGAACACACATATATTAAGTAGAATATCAGTATTTTCAGACTTCTATTTTTTGCCCGTATTGCAAACAGGATCGATAACAAATTCTTGTACATATTGCAAAAACTTTATTTGAGTATTGATGCGGCATAAAATTTCATATTAAGTGACATTACCAACTTACGATATACATATGTATTTTCAACATTCTTCAATGAAGTCGCATTCTTAAAACCTCCAATTCTTCACTTAATGAATCTTCAACAACCGAAAACTCAACGCTGCTCTCTATCCCAAGTCTCATCCGCAGGCCGATGTCTCCGTCTACGTCAACGAGGTGAAAATAATAAGTAACACCCGAGACATCTGAGGGTGATTAGATATTCTACAGGTATATTACTTCATCTTACAGAATATGAAGTTCACTTTCGACAAATTACGTTCATTCTTAGGAAATTATATTATGTGTATTGCCATCATTCAAACCAAAACAAACTAAAGCTTTTAATAATTTTAGATAAGGAAATTTTTAATATACATACATACATGTGTACATATGTACATTACACACCTTTTCAAACTTTGTTTAGTCAACTTTTTATATTTTGAAATCGGAAAAGGGTCATGTTTAAGAAAATTAAGAAATCCAGCCGAAACCTGGATAGTTTATAATTATAAATTAATTTCCTATACGTATGTATGTACATATAGAGTTGTGTATAAAAATAATTAAATATTTAGCACATACTTACGCACATAAGTATGTACATATGTATGTATGAACATACAAAATTTAACATTTCATTTGAAAAGTGGAATTTGTCAAAATACTTTAAAGTTGGCTTTATTAAATTATTTTCAATTAAAATATTCATATGTGCGGTCGTATATATTTGCATATGTATGAACAAACGTACATAATGAATGTAATGTATATCGCTCTGAAACAATAACAAAGTAAAAATATAAAAATTTAAAACTTGATTTTATATTTAAAACAGTAATAAAAAATACAGTAATAAAATTATAATAATAACAATAAATAAATAAATATAACTATAAAATAAAAATTCATTGCCAATCAGTAAACAACAAAATCATAAAATAATTTCAAAGGGGCGTATCAATAAAACTTTCATTACAATACAAGAATACAATACGCAGTCACACTACAATCAAATTTATTGAAATTTTAATACAAGCAAACACACACAAGCAAAAATACAAATAATCGCGTACGTGTGTGTAAGTATACCCGAATACCTTCCATACTCACTCAATTATCGTTAACAAAAAAAAACACTCATACTTTAATTTTTTCGTTTCATGCGATTTTAACTGACAGTAATCAAACATGTATGATACATTAATATAAGAGCATAATAATCAAAGAAGGTATGACCGTATGACATACATGTTTTGAGTGTTAATTACTAATTACAAAAAAAAGAGTATAAATGTATTGAAATCACTCAAAATCATGGCAGTCATAAAAATATAAGAGTAAATAGGAGCAATATGCCTAGATTAGATTTTTTATAGAGCGTAAGAGAGGGTAAAAGAAAATATTTATTTTAAATTTCTTTAAGATACTGATATACATACATACATAGGTGTATATGTATTTGACTATATTGTAAGTTCTAAAATACATAATTTAGAATTTTTCTGGCTGAGGTTATAAACAAAAATAATTTCGTGGGCATACTATTATATTGTACATTATGTGTATGTACATATATATTTTTAACTGATATATACATACATATTTGTACAGACGTATTATGTACAGATGTATACAAATATAATAGTTAATTTAAATTTATATTTTAGTTTCCTGCGACTTTAATGTTTTACTAAAGAAATACATCTATACATATAAATATATGAATATTAATATACATATTTATAAACATACATACATATATGTATATCCATCATGCTCAAGTTATTTTTTTACTTTTTATCGATTAGGTAATTCTTCTTGTATATACATATATGTATAATATACGATCCAAACAACTCAAATTTCCCTTTTATCAAGGTAGAACACGTCTCCCTACAAGTTGGCTCGATTCCCACATTTACCAACGGGATCAAAAAATCGGTTATTCTGCTGTACTTAAATTTTCCATTTCTTTATGTTTTTATTGCTATATGAGCAACTTGAAGTCAGTTATACATATTTGGTAACATCAAGAAATTTATAAGGTTCTTATTTTGCTTCGGGATGAAACATTTTTATCACCTAGCAGTTTCATCCTTTTCAGAGAATTTTTTGTAAAATATTTAAGTTAGAGAAATGTCCAAAAATTGTCTTAGCATAAAATGAAATACAAGATTTTGATATACTTTTATACAAAGTTTTGAATATATGGCCAGACTGATTTCTTAATATCACAAATTTGATTGAATTTAAATGGGTCGAATTCAAAGTATATACATATTTCTGATTTTTTAACTTAACTATTGACACGTACATACGCATATGTTAATCTTATATCTACGCATAATATATTACTTTAGGAAACTTTTTTATTAATCCCATTGCTGAGTCTTCCCAAATTGCTATAGGTATGTATATTTTATGTACATTTAGCATTGACAAATAATTTGTACAAATGGATGTTTTCTATTTTTGTAAATATATATATTTTTATAGTTATATTTATTTCAATTTTTAATGTATTCGAATATTTACATTATGTACATTGAATTTATTTTTTCATTCCTTTATACATAATACATACATAAGTATATGTAAATATGTATATAAAATATACTATTTAATTTTTATTTATTTTTCTCTTTATAGCATTTGAAAAAAAAAAAAAACATTGAAGCAAATATTTGAATAAATTTTATTCTTTATTTGAGTGATAGTTCAAAATTAGTACATTCAGAAACTTTTAAAATGAAACATCCTGTTGTTGTATCCCCATCGCGTCAAAACCAAAAAAATTCGAAAACAATAAAAACAAATTCCTTAACAGCAACTATATCACCAACAACAACAAGCTCAACAACAAATAGTCCTAATAAAATAGTAGGTGTAAGCATTCCAACATCATCAACAGCCTTGCAACATCCAACAAAACATTCTACCAACACAAACAATGAAAATGAAACTACGATTTCAGAAGATAAAAATAATGTTAAAACTACTGACGAATCTTCACGTTTAACTAATAGAAATATAAATACAAATTTAAGTGTAAATAGCCTGTTGAATGCACATAATTGTAGTGGTAAGTCAATATACATATATATATATTGCATACATAAATACATAAATTTTGATTTTTTTTTCTTCAAAATATATTTCGGATATCTAACAAACTTACACATATAAATTTTAAGATATATAATATTAAAAATATACTTGAGAATATGAGAAAAAAAAACACAATAATAATATAAGAAAAAAAATTTCAGGCGAACATCAACAAGAACCAAACGAATATGAAACTGAAAATACTACAAGTTCTGTTGCATCAGTTCATCAGAGATTTTCATCGGCGATAGTCAATAATTTAAATTTAAAAAATAATAATAATATTAATAGTAGTACAAATAATATTACTACGTCAACTTCATTATTTAATCGTATTTTTGAGACATCACCAAAATTAACTACAATATCATCTAATAATAATTATTTAAATTCAAATCAACAACAAACATCACAAATTATTATAAAAAATCAAAATTCTGTTATTAATCAAGCAACATCAATTGGTGTTGCCATTAATCAATTAAATAATAATAATAATAGTAATATTATAAATAATCAAAGTGAAAAATTACAAAGTGATACAATAGTAAATAGTAGTGATAGTGTACAAAATCAAAATAATAGTAAAAATAATAATAATAGTGAAATAATATTATCAGACAATAATTTAAATCAAAATCAGCCAACAGAATCGAATACAACAAATTTATTACAATCTACTGAAACGATTATAAATATTAAAACCGATAATGATATTAATTTAAAAAGTGATAATAAAATATTAAGTGAAGATTCTTATCATAATAATAATAACAATAATAATAATAATAATAATGATAATAACAATGATATTTCTACTAATAGTAATAGTAATGATAATAATAGTCTAGGAAATTCAAATAATATTAATAATAATAGTAAAAGTGTAACAAGTTATCGAAATAATTCTGTTATAATTACAAATCGTAGTCAGACAAATAATCAAAATAATAATAATAATAATAATAATAATAATAACAATAATAGTGTTAATCAAAATTCTATTACAAATGTTGTAACACAAGCTAATCAAATTGCTGTTGTTGCACCAACATTTAGAAATAATAATAATAATAATAATAATACATCAGAATTGTTAACATCAAATCAACAATCTCAAACATCATCAATTGGTGTTATCAATCCTAATTTAATTACTGCTAGCGGTACTGATCATAATGACAATCAATTAAGGTATAAATTTTAATTTAATTATTAATCTATTAATAAAATAACTTACAAGGTTTTAAATTTGAATTATTATATCAAATTTTTGTATTTATTAATGATTAATATATTTTACGGAGGCATGTATACGTTATGAGTACATTGTGACTTTATATAGATAAATATTATACCATTATAAATTTCAAATTATTGAGTACAGGGGCCTTTCTATGTAATTCGATTTTTGTGAAGCGATTCTGGTTTTCGAGAAAATGATAAGGTTATACCAATTATCAATTTGTATAGTATTACCCTTCCATTTCTGCAAATTCGAAAAGCATTTCATGAAAATTGGATTACTTAGTAAAGCCCCTGTTCAATAACATTTTGTTTTAGTTATAATAGATTCCAAACTACGCGAGCGTTTAAATGTGTTTAGGTATTTGCAATTAAAAGTTATCGGAAAATCATGGTTTAAAACTAAGCTAAAAATTAAAATGTATATTTTTAAATATTTTAATTTTTTCTAATAATTTTTTATGAATTAAACAATTGAACCAACATTTTTTAAGATATATGAAAGCAAGACCAATAATAATTTGTTTAATTTTCAATGCTCTATAGATTTAGAGAATCATTTTACTTTCAAACAAAATTTTTCTAAGCGTAAGATGCACATTAATTTACATACATATACTTTTATATTAGTAGAATATTAGAATAATTTACTTTGATATTTCCAGAATTATTTAACATACATATAAATTATTTTTATTATTTTCTTATACAGTGATAATATACCGCCTACATCACCATTACGTTATACAAGTTTAACTAGTGCTGTATTTGCTGCAGCCAATGAATATCCAATAACATTATCAACTTCAAATTCATCACCATCATTTAAATATAATTGGCCATATGATTTATCACTTAATAAAGATACAAATGAAAAATATTTAACAGCAGCACATCATCAACAAACACAACAACCAATTGTTGCAACAGCAACACATCATTATCAACATAATTATACTGGTCATCATTTGCAACATCATTCACCACATTTAACCTCATTGAGCTTTGAATCAGCCATGAGAAATCCTTTAGCTATGTCATATACAGATCATCATATGCATTTAGCAGGTGGTGGTCCCGGATTACTTGGTGTTGATGAAATTATTGAGGATACATTAAAAGATGAAAATTGTTCAATTGTAGATAATCATCATTTAGTTGGTGTTCATGATGATGTAACATATTTAGCATTATCAACAAAAGAAGCTTTATTATATAATAATAATAATAATAGCGGTCATATCAATAATAATAATACAAATAATATTAATAATAATCATTCAACAAGTAGTACTGAATCAAGAAGTCCATCTGGTTTATCACATACCGATGAGATTAATGGAAATGCTGGTGTATTACAAAATTTTACTCAATTAACAAATGCTCGTTTAGGTGGTAGTTTATATTCAACAACAACTTTAGGTCCAGATTCTCCTATGTTACATAGTGTTTCAGATTATGATACATTAACAGTTGCAGCATTATCACCTGGGTAAGTTGAAAATATTTTATTGAATTGAATTATGTAGTAACTGTTTTTTCCAAATTGTTTTATTAATTGATTGTTCGTGATTTATTATAACGGCAATTGAATTAATTGAAAAATTTTTTTTTATTTAAAATTGCCTGATTTTATGCAATTTTTTTATTATAGATATTACGTAAGCAATCCAAAATACACAGTCTCTGACTTTGTAATCAAAAATATAAGTTGAATCTCTGATTGTCATCTTGAATTTTTTAGAGCAATTTCAAAGTGCAAAATGAAAGATGATTTTTTAACATCTTACCCTTTGATTTCCCAGATTCATCATGTGAATCATGTGATTTGAGTAGCAGAGTTTGTAAGTAAGGTTTACGTTCGGGAACAATGATTTCATTTTAAATAATAATTTTTTTTAAATTTCTATCTTATTGTCAAACTCCCCTATAAAAAATCCTTGATTCTTTTCAATGAGCTCGCATTTGTAATCGATGATCAATATGAAAATAAAACTTTATCGTAACTTATGCATTTCTGTGAACATATTTCACGAGATTATTGACATAAAAGATTTTTTTTCTAGATTTGCAAAACAATATATATTTAATTCATTTATGATGAAGACAAAAAAAAAACAAGAAAATAAACTGAAAAAAATAAGAATTTTTTTAATTTCTACTCATAAAAGAAAAAAAAATTTTTTATTTTGTTGAGTTTTCTTTCTTGTCGGTTTAAATTTTAGTTTAGCGAATTATTTTCGCATTCAGAAATTATTATGAGTATGGAGAAGGTTGTCGGGGTTATGTACTAAATGACTTCCAAATGAGTGATAAGAAACTGTATTTATGTATACATACAATCTACATAAATAATGTATATGAATATTTTTTTTTATATTTTAATATTCATCATTATATTTTTATGATTTTTATAATGGATGACTCTTTATAAAGATTTATATTAAAAAAAAGGAAAATGGCAGATATAATTATTTTTTTTTGTTGTTTTACAATTTTAAATTGGACAATACAATAATTTTGACTTTGATCTGTAATTTATTTAAAATTTTGTGTGTTCATAATAAATTTCATATAAATTTTTAATCTCTTCCATTTTGATTGCAAAATGGTGTTTGCATTAAGTATAAGAATATTCACTGCTTTTGTTTTGCAAGAAAAGATGTAATTATCTATATTGGATTCTTATATTTTGTACAATTATAAAATTTAATTGCTCACGTGCCCATTTAGTTCATTGGAACAATATTAAATTTAACAAAAATATGAACATATAGTGTTGTTTCAACAACCAAATATTTCTGTTACCCAATACAACATCAATTTCCTGTTACATACTATGTAAATGATCAATTACACCTAATTCCAGTTCGATGATATAATTATATAACGCATATAAATGTACGTTAGAAGTTGGTTGCGGGTCTTGGCCACTGCCGCAAGTTCACCACACCCCAATTAGCACAAATATGTCATTTTCCTGCCACCACCCCTTAAGCGGCCACTCATCATTGAGCTTGTAATTATTGGTGGCCTATATACGCCGGCCGTTGGCATTTCCAGAAATAATTAAAAAGAATCTCCTTTTTGTTCATTTCGCGACATTGTCATTATGTTATAGTATTTACTACTGAAATGGTATGTTTTTATATACTTATTTAAGCTCCAAAGCTTAGTTTTTTGGTTTTATTTTAAATTGCATACTAATGAGGTACCTGTTACACACCAGATTATATCTTACAACAAAATATGAATTTAATTAAAATTTGAGATCTAATCAAATGTCTGACAATAAAATCTATTGGAAAAACAGAAGTTAGCTGACTATCGTCAGATCAGATTTTCTGTTAGAATAATGTGGCGTTAGCTAAATTTTAAATTTTTTTTTTTTTGCCGCGATCCGATTTACTTACATATGTATTCAAATATTTAATAAAATATTCGCTGTCAGTAGTTTGACATTAAATAATGCTCATCTAATTTTATCCAAGATTAAATCGTAAATTTGATTTGATGCGCAATTCGGAAGCTAATATTAGTAATATAGAGTTAAAATAGCAAAATGTCACAGTTTATTTTCAACTGATTTTCAATGTAAATTCTTTCCCTTGGAATATAGAAATCAAGTTTCATTACGGTTAATATTTTGCTTCAAAAATAAATATAAACTTCTTCATTTAAATTTCATCCATTATATTTAAAAAATCAAAGAAGCCATTTTTTAATTGCATATATATAAAAATGTGTGTACATATACAAATGGTTACATTAATTATCAATAATTCATCAGTTTTGATGAACTATGGATGATGGATTTTTTTTTATTATCATTCCATTTTCGTTAAATAATAAAGATTTTTTTTTTACTATTTTAATGGTAAATACTTTATTTTATATATGTACACTATTTATATTTGTATTTAATAGGATAGGTATATTGAATAAATATAATCGAGAACAGAATATGTACATAATAAGGAATTATTTCAGGAATATTCTTTTCTCTGATTAAATATATAATTTTCTTATTTTGATTATTTCTGATAACACTCCAATCTTATAATAATGTAGACAAAATAAGAATAAAAAAATTTAAAATTATATTGATTAAAAAAAATATCAAGAAATTTTTGAAAAAAAAAATGAACGATTTTGATATAATATTCGTCTTCTTTCACAAAAAATAAAAAAAAAGTGATAAATCTTTAATTTTCAAAATAATAATTATATTATATAAAATAAAAAGATTAGTTATCGATGAGATTTAGAAAGTAAAACAACATTTACTTGAATAGTTGAGGAAAACAGAAAAAAAAGTGAAAATTATTTCCAGATTAAAAAATTTTTTTTAAATTTTTAGTAAAAATAAAATCACTGTAGTTTTTTTTTTCATAATTTTTTAATAAGAAAGTACATAAAAGTGGTGTTGATCCTTTATCAAAAGCGGTTCTTTTTAATATTTTTAAAGAAAAAGTATCGAAAAATTATAATAAGTGAAAAAAACGTAAAAAATGTTTCAAAAAATTCTGGAAAATGATTTTAAAATGTAAATAACACAACTATATCGTAAATTATTTCTATTATTTTCAATAAATTTTAAATATAAGATTTGAATTTAATTAGTAAAATTAAAATATGCTCTACATTTATTACAATATTCATCAATTTATTTCTATAACATTGTATTATTAGTAACGATCTGCTAAAAAATTGTATAGAGTTGCTGTTATGCAAAATTTGTAATGAGTACAAAAAATATGATCAAAACAAGTTCTTTTTTGTTAATCAGAAAATTAAATATTTTAGTTCATTTGCGATTCATAATTTCGAAATATTATTGAAAAATTCTATTTTTTCATATTTAGGTGAGCTTCACATTGCAGATACGGTTAAAATAATGAATTCATGTATAGCAGGAACGAACTTTTGGTTTAATTTTCAAAATATATACGTATACATATGTATAAGTATTGTACTTCCTAAAAAATTATTATAGTCGTACATTCAATAATATAATATAATCTTGCAACTTTCGAAGTCGAATCAATCTTAAAAATTCAATAAATTTTTATTAAATCATAAGTTTTAAATCAATTATTCTTTAAAAGCACTCAAAATATGTTAATATAGGTATTCATTATCACTTTTATATATATACATATATATTTCACAGTATATGCAAAATTATCACCAACCCAAAGTAATATTGTACATATAAATTTTTTTTGCGAAAATTCAATTATTTCAAAAGTTTTAAAAGCCGATTGTTTGATTTGAACTTTGCACAGACAAATATTATAACTACTGATTGAAAGAAAGAGAGAGAGAGCTTAATTTTAAAAAAAAATATTTTAAGAGATTTATTACAGAGATTTTCATAATGCTCTCACTGTAAAATTTTTCTTAATCTTATACAAGATTACAGACTTATTTTATTTGTATATGAAAAATTATCTTTTATACCAATAAAAATTATTATTTTATTATTTTTGTTATAAGATTTTTGAAATAAAAGTGAAAGTAAAAGTTAATATGTAAGTAATTTTTTTTAAAAATTAATTCATTGAAAAATAAACACCTTTCTAAATATAATCAATTTATTGTAGGCTAGAATGTCTAGATTTATTTATTGCATTCAATTTCTAACAAATGCGTTCTACGATATAAGATTGAATTTAACCTAGTTTAAGGTTTACTATCGAAAATACTCGTACATTGTATTACATTTTGTGCTTTAGCAATTGGCGTGTGCCTATAATTGAAGAGTTTGCGCATTCGAGCTGATTTCGTTTTATAAAAATTTAATCTTAGAAAAATTTGTTAAAGAGTTAAAAAGTAAGCGGCATTTGTGTTTAATTTTTTTCGCACATTTTGCATATTAATATAAGTAATGCCCATATTTTTTTCTTATGTCAATGTAATTTAGCCTAAGTTTTAAGATCGGCTTCTTATATGATTCCGCCGATTGTAAAATATATGGAAGACTCGCACTTTACAGAAATCGATAAATCTGCCCCAATATAAATTCAAACAAGTTCGAGATGCCACTACATATACTAGTATATACACATACTTACAGAAGTCGCAGTTGACTTGATGTGTACACCAAAAGCAGAACCTTAGTTATTCTGAACCAGAAATATTCTTGTTTTCTTTTTCTTATTTTGTAATTGTAAAACTGTTAGTAATAAATTTTCCCAAATCAATTTTGCTTCGAATTATACTTTGTTTGTAAAATTTGTAAATTATTCATATTTGTGTATGTACAACAAAAAAGAAAAAAAAAATTCATTGTTAAATTAAAATTTTCTATTAGTCATTGTACGTATAACTTAAAATACTTTACTGTTTTATGTTACACAATAAAAATCTTGGAAAATATGATCATCATATACATAAGTGAACAATTAGAGTAAATGTGCACCTGAAAATGAAAATGACGAACGTGATATTTTCAATATCACTTTTTTCTATTTTATTTTTTAACTTACG